TGACTGTCTCAGGCTTGATCAAAAGCTGCTAATCTTAATACACCTCTTTTCCTTGACTTCAATGAGCTTTGGATTGGGCCCTTTGAGAGCAGATATAAGCTAAAAATATTGCAGTGCCAAGACTGTGTAAAGTCGGGAGAGAAGTATGATCAAATTTATCATTATAATACTCAGCAGTTTGTAAACTCATTAACATTTGCAGGGAACATGCTGTTTTACCTGTGACCTATAAATTCTGGAAAGCTCAGGAGAATTGCCACTCCGAGAAGTGTTGATGGCAAAGATATTTTGGGGGAAGCATGATGAAGCCAAGTGGCACAGTTTAATTGAAGTTGCTATGGGATGCCATGAGAAGTCACTGTGCATCCAAACAATGACAGAGCTTGCACAGAGTGGGGCTCAGGTTTATGAAATTCTATAAGAAAGTGGGAGTCAGGTTAGCAAGATATTGCCCACAAATTGGAACACATTCCATACATTAAGGGTCCATTTATAGCAATAAGAGGGTGGATGATACTAGTGTCCCCCATTCCAACTATGCTAAATGTTGCTTCAAACCTGCACGTACTAAGGGGAAAAAGTCTAAATTCTGGGGTAGATCAGTAATATCAGATGCACAGGGATCTCATGTAGGCACTAGAAAGAATACTGGAGGACAAAAAAAAAGAAGGATATAACAAGCATGAAGCTATTTACAGACTGAATAGAGAATTTTGAATGTTTAGCTTTAGCTGCAGAACGCTTTGGAGAGTCAGCAGCCATTGTCTCATGAGAAAGAAGAACATATACAGTGCTTGAAATACTTTTATACGAAAAGAACCTTTCCATTAGGATTTTTTAAATTGTATGGGTTTGTCAAGAGTTATATGTCAATATGTCTAGATTTTAAAAAATAATAGAATTACAGACAGCTGCTAGCTAGCCTTTTTTTTTTTTTCTGAGTTGTAAATCCATATCACTGTGTTTGTAGTATTTACAGCTCCTTGCCATTAACAGCTGTCCATAGCTAAAGGAAGAGCTGAAGTCCTCTGTGTTTTCACAACATACATCCTCTTTCTGTATTTCCTTCAGTCACAATGTATTGTAGAGCAGCCTCAAAGCTCTGTCAGCCATCCCTGCTCCTGGGGAGTTAAAGCACTACCAAAGCACTACTTGCAGTTGCTGTTACAAGGACAGCTTCAGTGATCCCCTGTTCTTCCTTGTTAAAGGGCTGCAATCCCTGGGGCTCACTACAGTTCCTAAAAAGGAAGGCGCAGCAATTTAAGGGAACTTCTGGCTAATTGCCCTCAAGTTGCTCGCCCCTCTCATCCCAAGCCACGCAGCTGAGCAGGAATGGGCCTGGCAATCATCTCTGGGTCTTGTACATTGTTCATTGCAAAGAATGGTCTGTGTCCTGGCCAAGATCAAGCTGAAATCTTGTGGAGCAAAGTCAAACCGACAGTTGCCTGCTGGTTGTGTACAGAGCTGTGGGAGACACGTGTCACCATGGTTTGCTGCAGTGGTTATATCAGCATGCTTTTTGAAGTGCATCTGTGTAGGCAAAATCCAGATCCAAGACCCCCCAAAATAAGGCCAACAATAATTGCGCCATACCAAACTACCCCAGAGTCGCTGTTTGTATTATGCTACGGATATTCTACATTTTCTGTAGAACTACCAGTATTGAGGGATCATTTCAACATCTTTAAAAAAATTAATTAGAGCTGTGATCCATCCTGTATGTCATTTATTCTCCATTATTCAGGAATCAGAGTAACTACTGAAAATTCTTAAAAATTATTTTACTCTCAAGAGACAAAGTAGTAATCTGTTTCTATCAGCTTGGCAAATGCTGTTAGGAGAAGATCAAGTTTAGAAATATCAGTATAGATTTCCTGAAATAATTTGGCAAAAGGCATGTGAGTTGAGGCAGATATTCAGGAAATTAACTGATATCCTGCATAGTACAGCCATATATTCAAAAGGAAGGGATTTGTGTGCGTATCTTTACCTACAGAAACAATAATACAGACAATAAAATTGCTTTGAAAATGTAACCATGCCTTTCTTAATTTAGCTCTTGGTTTCACTGCTGAAACTCCCAAATGTGCAGCTGGGGGATGGGAGAAACGGGAATTTCTGATGCAGACATTTGTCCAGTAGGAACTAGATGGAACTGCCAGCTTATTACACATGGACCATTGAACACCAAGCAAACACTACTCTCTCCCTCCTGCACATTTGCAGTGTCTGTGGATTTCCTCATATAGTTGCTTATCCTATTAGCTTAAGGGAAAAGCTCTAATTGCATTCACATGGAAGCAAAATCTTCAGTATATGCTTTTTCTATTAGTATTCTTCTCTTTTTTTCCCAGTATCAGTTAGGATTTAACAGAACTCTCAGGATTATAAGCATATTTTACACTTTCTGATTTGCATTAATGTATGATACCAAAGCACGTAAAGAAAATATTAAACAAGTATTTATTTGAAAAGAACACCACAACTGTCACTAAAATATGACCTTTGGTGCAGAAGAATAGCAGAAGTTTGGCTTCACAGCCCACATGCTGCCTACAGGAGCTGCTGGGTAAATGATAGGACTTGGGTACTACAGGGGCTGTCCGTAGTGACCATAGATCTACTAGAACTAATTTCTTCTTTAAAGACTGTGAACCCAGACAGTCTGTGCGCTAAGAGGTGCCCAGAGATGGAGGTTGGCCAGTGTGACCATATTGTTGTGCATCACAGTCCTGCCTGTCCACTTTTCCCACAGCCAGGAGTTTGGATAGCACTGAGAATGCTTTAACCCAAGGCATGTTGCAACGACAGCGAGAGAAAAGGGAGAGCAGAGGCACTCCACCCTACAGACAGCCAGGTGCTCTGTCAGTCTGTCACAGAATTAATTCCCCCAAGTAACAATTCAGTCAGTCAATAAAGCCTCTATTTAAAAGACCTCTGTTTTTCCTCCATGAGACCAAGCGTACTCATAAATTACACATTTGCCAATAGCTCTCACCTCTGTTTGTAGCAAGTCTGACACTATTAAGACGCTGTTTTAAAACCCATTTCTCTTCAGATTATTTAACACTCAAAGGCTTAGAAATCTAGTGACAGATAGTTTAGGCTGCAAACTTCCAAACTGGCCACAGTTACACTCACTGTGACTGTATTTAAACAGGGAACCACATGTGACAAGCATCACATTCTGTTTCTTCACCGTCCAGTCCCTTAAGGTTGTGGGGTTTTTTCCTACAGCAATAAGTTTTTGTCAATGCCAGTGTCCACTTCAATAGAAGGAGTTCTTTCATACACTCTGATTTTATATTTGATTTTTGAAGCACCAATGCTAACTAAGCTGATTTCTTTAGTGAATTACATAAAAACTAATAAATTACCCTGAGTAATCATTTTACATTTTTAAATATTTCAATACTCTTATTTGAGGCTTTATAGGTATTAAAAAACTTGGGGTTTTTCCCCTAAAATGAACTCCTGATTAGTACCAATTAATAATTCTTTCAAAATGTTTGTTTTACTAACTGTGTTAACTTGGAGCTGCAAGAAAGCTAGGAAGTGTTCTCTAGTCAGCAACTGTAATCGTGGCAAACTGCCAGGATGTTTGTGACCTCTAGAAATCCTTAAGGTTCTCATCAGCATTTCCTTATCCCCAATACTCTGTTGTTTCTGTTTTAAATTACATCTCAGCATCCCCAGAGTAGGTAATAATGTTAATGTAAGTGATACAACAGATTGTTACAAGCTTCCTTGGATTATGAGATGGGAATATCTTGATTATGAAAACAATGATGGTGTTTATTGTATTATATTTCTGAAATTACTATTATAGTATTATGCTGATACAAATTATACTGTTTCATCTCAAGCATACTTATTTAAAACACAGTGGATGCAATTCAAAGACTGTCAAAGACAATGAAAGACAATACCCGACTCTCCCTGGTTGTGTATCAGGATCAGAATGCTACTGTAACCTTCACATTATGTGGCACTAAATTCTAAGATCAGAAGATACAAATTTCTTGGCTTTTTTGTGCCTGTAGAGTTAATAGGTACCATAATTACAAAGAATTGTGAATAATGGGTGCAAGGCTCATGAAAAGAGCTTGCTGCCACTGCTGAAATACATTTGTTTGCTATAGAATGTGCAATGGGTTAGTACAGGCAATCTTGTAACTGTGGCTACAGATAATAATAGAAAATGTATCTCTCAGAAGGAACTTTTTGTTTCTGTATTCATATAAAGGTTCTTTCCCTGCTAATACTTAAAGGCAAGGTGATAGCAAAATGAGGATTGCTTACAGAGCTGGGGAAAAAACCCCAGTGTGTTACTCTGCATTTACCCTTTTGATCCAGCGTTAAAGCTGCACTGAGAACATAATGTGCTACATGTTACATATTACATAACACATGTGGAGGTATATATATTAATATATTTGCCGTATGTACTGTGGCAGCTCACACACACTTTGTATGTAAGTGGCCTGAATTCAGAAATTGGAAGTGGGTTGTCATATTCCATTGTAGAACACATAGACTTGCAGTGTCCTGAAGTGACAAGATGAAGTATATAAGAAAAACACAATTATTTGTTTAAAAACCCCACATTTGTTATTCTAAGCCAAGTAGCACAACTTCAAGCTTTTAAAAATTCATAACACTTGGTGTTGCTAGAATTGGTGTTGAAGCTGAGACAAACATATGCTGTCTTTTCCCATATCACCTTTATAGATCCTTATGCTGCAATGACATTTTAATAGTAAGTTGTTTTCTTCCATTCATTTAAAGCGTTTTCACTGATTTTTTTTAATTAATGGTGACCTCTGAACAAGTGTGGTTTTTTGTGTAAGTTCCAGAGCATGACATAAATTTGCATATTGGTGATCACTTCCAGGACCCCATGTCAGGTATTAGCTATTCCACTTCATCTCTTCTGGCAGTATTTTTCCAGAATACTTGCCTTGTCACTAACTGTGGCATATCTTCATTACAACTGTCAGGCACAGAAAGGCAGAATCACAAACATGAAGGCAAGAAAAGCTTTGATGGGCAAGAGAGAGATTGAGAGAGAAGGAGTGCTGAAAAAATGGCATCATCCGCTGGATACTCCTCGGGGTGTGGAGAATGAGACTTTGCCTGGCCTGCTTTTGAGTCACAGCTGGATAAGTCATTAAGTTATTACTACTGCATATATAATGAGATTGGTTTTCAGACTCATTTTTGCTTACCCATTTTCTGATATTGTTTAACTGTGGCTTAAAAAGAAAAATATAATATGATTATCATCCAAAGCTCTACCTAACGAGTTAAGCTGATAGAGTGTCAAAATTCAGTGCAGGTACTTTTACCCATGGAGGTAATGACTGTTCTGCTGCTCTAGGTGTTCCACACTACCTAGTTCTGAAATTTTGAATCCTTTTGGGGAAAAAAAAAAAAAAAATTGCTGGAGCATTTTAAGTCAAACCCACTCTCTCTGTGTGCTTTCTGACATCTTCTTTGTGAAATGAGGCTCTTCATTGTCATCTTCCTTTGACAGCTTCTCTCATCCTGTGTGTTCAATACATCCACTCTGAGCAAGTTACCCTTTCATCTGGCATTTCTTTATGTTAAGGCTATGCTGATCCTCATTCCTCAATTGGATCTGCCAGGCTGGCTGATATTGTGTACTGTAGTTTGCCAAACCTCGTTTGCTCTGACTGGCAGTGATAGCAGCACACACCACTTCAGACAGCTGTGGCAGCAGCAATCTATGCTGGCCAGTTGTAGGTATCTAAACAGAAAAACACCAGTATGATGATGTTGTACTGCTGGATCACAGCCAGCTCTGCACTGCCTCCTGCAGCACCTTTCTGCAACGTGAAGCACACAGATAATCTGATGCTCAGAGGCATTCAGCTTGCATGCAGTCAGACCAAAAAAAGCTCAGGTTTGCTCTCTGTGGCCAGAGCTCCAGCTGCAAGGGCTCACCATTTCTGATGTGGAGGGGGGGCAGGAACTGCTTCAACACAAGAAGAAGGGTGTACCTGTGTTAGTTCTGTGGACGATGAAAAAAACCTCCATGTCTTAATCCAAGGAAAGTTGGAGAGTGACAGAGTTAGGACCTGTCACTGATATCAAACCCACAAGACAGAGCAAGCAGCCTGCATGGCACTTGCAGTTATCTGACACAGGTCAAATCCAGTGAAATCCATGGCTGCAAGTTACTGTGAGAATATTTCTGCAAGAATCTCCAGCTGATGGAGTATTGATCGTGACAAACTGACTGCCAGGATTCAGACATGCCTGTGATGTCAGACTATGACATGCATATGGTTCTAGTTTTAATTTTCTGGCATGATAATTAAGAAAAAATATTCCTCTTCTGTTAATTCCTTCAAAGCTGAAAAGACTTGTCGGTGTCTGTATGTGAGGAGTATTGAAGTTATAGCCCATGGTCACCAACCTTCAGGGTGCACTGATCTCAAACTCTGTATAGGCTACAGGTACAGGGGGACAGTCAATCCATTTCTACACACATAGATTTCCCAAAGGGAAATATGCATTTAGGACTTCTCCCTTTGTATTTTGCTAGTTAGCCTCAGATTGCTTAACACCAGTGATTTTTACCTCACTGAAGCTGTGCAGCATCTTCTTTCCCAAGAGTGTAAAAAGCCATAAAAGAGGATTAATGCTGCTTTTGAACTCCATTAACTATTGTGTGGATTTTCCACTTAGAAGTATCCAGCACACACTTAATATCATGTAAAATTGAAATAAGAATAATTAGCAATTAATAAATCATCTGCCAAGTTTTGAGCTTGTTTATTCCTCTGACCTTCTGACATATTCTGACTTCTTTCAGACTTTCCTGTACAATTAATTTAGACACTACAAACCAGGCAGGCATCATCCTGAGAAATAAGTTCTTTGATCTAGGGGAAGAGGATGTGCCATAGATTACTCTATCCTTCTTTTCCTGTTTTCCTGGCATTTCCAACTTCTGATGACTAGATCTCACTGTTTGACTCTCAGAGCAGAATTTCAATACTTATTTGATTTATGGATCCAAACTTTGTGCTAACAATGCCCTGTAGGATTTTATTGCACTCAGTAAATAACTCAAGGTTTATTGTTCTTAAAAGAGAACACGGGGAATGTAATTTTTATTTTGTCTAGCTATCTGTTAGTCCCTCTAGTAGCTTTTAACTCCTTTGCCCTTTTTGTTGTTATTGAGATCTCAAGGATGAGATGTTTCCACAGCTGTTAGGAAAACAAATGGCTGAATGGAGACAAAAGGCTGAAGTACAAACTTCATAGTTGTTTGCTTGGTTTGTTCTACTTGCTGATCAGTCAGTACACATATACCAGGATGGGTAACTCCAAAAAAGAGACCAGATTTTCATGGATGGCTTGACTTTCTTTTTAAAAATGTTTGGGTGATTTTGATGCCCATGAAACCTGAAAATCTTTTGCTCTGCATAGGGCAGATAGGTGATTCACACTTTGCAGCATGGCTCTAGTTGTGTGCCTCTGGTTCCAGAAACATCTTCATCTCTCTCTATATATTTGTAGAAATGATGGAAAAGGTGTCACCCAGGAAATAAAGTGCAGCTTGCAAATAAATATTTCAAACCAGATTTTCATGAATAAATGTTAATGGCTCCAAAATGCTAGACTATGACAATACAAGATCATCATAATATAAAATGTGTCATTTGTATGTGCCTGAAAAGAACCCTGCAGCACTGCTGTTCTTTTGTCTGCTGTAATTTGCTTACTCTGAGAGGAAAGAAGCCTAATCTATTTGCATAAAGTTATTTAGACCTCTCTATAAGAGTCATAGGATCACAGCTGGAAAAAAAAATCAGTCAGGTACTTCTTAGCTGAGTGCATTAAATTATTAATATAATAAAAAAATTGTAGAAAAAGCTAGAGTAATAACATAAATTGTATTTTATGTACTTATCTTCTAGAATATATCTGCTAAAATGTGGACCTTTTCAAAGAAGTATAAATAATTTTACCTCTAAATATTCTTAAAGGTTCAGAAGTTTCTGGTATTTGTTGCTGGCTTTGCTACAAACATTTTTATCCACACTTAGTGCCTGACTTCTCTATCACCACAGTCATACCTTTGTATGGTTAAGGAATAGCATACTGGGCTCCCAAGGTAAAATTTTAGTTTATTGACTTTGATTCAAAAATTTCTGGACACAAGATAAATCTCAAACACATACTGGAGAATAAGGAGATGGCTGTTGTAAGTTAATTTTGCTGTTAGTAGCTCTTAAAGAGATCTTTAGTTAAAAATTTAGGCAAAACCCCTTTGCAAATATCTTATCCCTTTTGATTTTCTTTGGATTCTTGAAGATCTTTTGGAGGGCTAATTATTTCTGTGAGAAACTAACTACTTTTGTGAGAAATTGGGGGCTAATTATTTCTTTTCTTAAGACTAATGCTTTACTATGACTTTTGACCAATCAGAATTTCATCTAATTGGTTTTATCTGGCCATTACTCCAAGCACTGTCAGAATCCAGCTTTTGTTGCAAGGCTCACAGGCTGTGCCAACTCCACATCAGTCACACCCACCACCAGTCTGTAACCCAGGGCTGAAAGTCATTCATCTACAGTGCCCCGGGGGTAAATGAAACGCTGGTAGGCATTTGTGTACTTTTCTGTGTTGTGGACTTCGTTCCTACGTTATCCAGGATGGCTGACTGCAGGCTTTCTAAAAAGCAATCAAATCCAGCATCATCAAACAGTATTTGTGGTCACAGAGGAGCAGCTTGTTACGGGCAGCAGAGGAGACAGCAATAGGAAGCACAAGGTTTAGCGTGAGTGGAGAGCGTGTTAAGAGAAAACAATAAAGCAGCTCAAAAGTGATCAGATTAGCCCTGAAAGAGCAACTGTCTACACGGGAAAGGCTGGCTTTTCTTTTCCTGGCTGTAGTGTAAACGTTGAACCAACACAGTGAGAACAAACTTTTCAGGGTTAGAGACAGTTTGTTGGGGACACTTCCAGCTAAACAAATGGTATCTCTAAGGGTGTCCAGGCTTTGTCAGGCACATTCAGGCACATTCTCTTTAGTCTGTGTACGTATAAATAAGTCTTTATCAAGTGTGCCTTTCCTTTAATTGGTAAAGAGTGGATGGTAAAAGGCAATTGGATTATTTTGGATTATGTTACAGATTCATTATGGATTCAGAAGTATAGTTAGAGCCTTAAGCTTGGGTGCAAAGATATGTTACTTAATGTATGTTTCTGAAAGGAACTTATAAGCTGTTTAGATGTGATAATTGAAAATGAAAGATTACATTAAAATCCACATTTTAATCATCTGGGAATGATTACCAATGTAGTTTTGCATCATGGCTCCAGAGATTTTTTCCCAACTATTTCTTCTATTATTAAACTTTTTAAAAAAATTATTTCATAAATATTAAGCACACTTAGTTCCCTTCTTGACTTTATCTTATGATAATAAAATTGGAATCAGAGCCAATGTGTACATTTCGAGGAAAGTTATGATGTAAAGCAGAGAACATAGAACAAAGTACTGAAAATCATTTATGATTGAAACTGTAGATTAAAGTTCGTGCAAACCTCTCTCAGAATAGCATCTCACAATTGCCTGGTAATGTTGGGATGTGTATTCATAAGCTTTTTAATGTATGCAGTCGACCTCTTCTACTTTAGTTTGCAACCACTGTACTTATTCTGCTTGGCAAAGCTGGCATGACTGATTGAAAAATTAAGAATGTTAAATTTCTGATAAGAGCATTTTCACTTCTTAAATACAGTATTATCAAAGATTTGCACAGCCAGAGTGATAAAAATTTATATTTTTTGCTGTGGGTGTACCAGTGTACAATAGTTAACACTTGCACCTGAATGCATGGACAGAAACCAACATATCAGTGAATTTATGGGTTTATAATTTTTTTTTTTACAAATCTATGACTTTTGAGACAAAATATGAGGGTGGGAGTTCAAGGATTTAGAGAGATGATTAAGCTGTAAGTCAGCAGTTAAATCAGCATTGTTTTGGCAAGGGCAGTTTGTGTGAAGGGACTTTCAAACCAGCAGGGAAAGCAAAAGGTACTTTTTGTTTGCCTTTCAGTGAAGTAACTCTTGCTATATCAAAAAATAAGCTGTATCAGTCTCTAGTCATCATTTTAAGGAGCACAAATCTGGCAGAATACAATCCATGCTGTTGGACTGTTGGATTTTTTTTCAAAACATGATCCCCATTAGTTTGGCATTGTTTTCTACACCGGTTTTTGACATTAAGAAT